AATGGCAAATCTAATATTAAATAAATTAATATTTTAATTATTTGCAAAAATAATATAAATCTATAAAATAATATAAAAATACCTTAAAAATATGAAGGTGTTTCTTGAAATTATGAAAGTAAAAAAAACATAATAAAAATTTATTATTTTCAAATTCATTAAATCTTTTATTCATTACTTGATAACAGTGATTTGAAAAGACTTATTAAAAGAATGTGATAGTGATTTTATAATTACAGACAATCATGTTAAGCTTAAAAAATAATTAGCCAAGATTATTTTTCTTGCTTCTAAAGCTAAAATAGCTGCATGATAGGTCTAATACAAAGGCTAATATTTTTAAATCTAGCTAAAAGTTATGACCTTTAATAATTGATTTAATATGATTATTTATTAAATATTCAGCATATTTTGTTACCATCTAATTTAATAACAAAATTAATTATAAATAATTAAAGATCAAGGTGAAATTTATGAAGATAATTTAATTGATAAAATTGCTAAAATTTCTTTAACAAATAAAGAAAGTAGTAATATTGAAGATAAAGATGTAATTGATTATAATATTGATAATCTAGTAAATAAATATGGATTAGATAGTTAAACTTTTACTTATTTTTTTATATTAAATCATACAAATAATTAAATATTATATGAATTTATTATAGATTAGTAAAAAAATTATTATTGTGAAACTATATATAAAATATAATTACAAATCTATAAAACTTAAAAAAGTTTCATCATCTGTGAAATATTTAACAGTTTTAATTTCATTATTAACGTTACTCTATCTGTTTAATAAGTTAACTATAATTTGAAGTCAGGGAGATAATAGCTATGACTTAAATCTAATCAACTTGACATGAAGTTAATTAGAAAGTTTGTTTGGTTAATAAGAATAAAATTATAAGTTTTAAGTTTGCAAAATATTATTATTGTTTATTATTATTATTAAATATATATTGAATACAATATTAAAATCAATTAGAATCTATCCTTTTTTTAAGGCATTTTCATGCCCTTTATATAAGAAAATTACAATTAAAGAAAATCTATAGTAGTAATAATACTATTGATAATAATAACAGAGCTAACAGATATGCTAATTTTGTTAAATATAATAAATAATAATAAGGATAAAAATAATAGAAATAATATAAATTATAAATATGTTCTATTTGGCAGATATATCATATTTAGCATATATGACATATTTAACAGTTTATCAACTTTGCCAGTTTCAATATTAATTATCTAAATTTATAAGTTTTATCCATAACTTTAATAAAAACATTAACGATCAATTAATTAATAAAATAAAAAACCTTTAATTTTTACAAAATTTATTAATCTAACTGTTGTTTTAAGATTAAGTATTTATTTTGATTACTTGCAAAAAAATACATATAATTAGTAATTTAAAATGAAATTTAGTTTTTATACAAACTTATATCTAAGGTTTAAAGCAAAATTATAGGATAAATTTGGTAAAATATAAAGTTTTTGTAGAAATATTATATTATAAAAAAAGGGCTTAATTGTATAAATAAAAATCTAAAGAAAAAAGTTTATTAAGGTTTGTAGTTTTATTACCTTAAAAAAGATGTTACATTTGATGTTATTATCAATCTTTTATTATTATACTAATTTTATAATTAATGATCTACACGTGAATTAAAATGTTAATTAACTATTAATATTTAAAAGATAATTAACTATTCTTTTTCTATTTTAATAACTTTTCTTTTATATTACTTTATTACATTTCAAATTTATTTATAAAATACTCTCTAAAAGATCTATTTCTATATTTCTTTTTTATACTTCTATGCAAAAAGTTTAGAATCACTTAATAGATTATAAAACAAATGGTTTTTTTAAATAATTAATATTTTATTAAGCTATAAAAAATTATATATAATTACTTTATTGAATAAAAAGAATAATTTTTAAATATTAATTATAAGCAACAAATAAAATATTAGAAATTTAATAAGTAACATTTTACCAATCATTATTAATTATATTTAAAATATGTAATTTGTTTGTGAATAAAAAAATAATTTATATAATTATATTTATTAAATTATAATTATTAAAAAGCATTTATTATATATGATAAAAAAAGAATCCAAAAACTCATACAATTGAAAAATTAATATATCAATAAAATTTTTTAAATAAGTCATAATTTTAATAAAAAATAAAATAAAAAAATTATTTCTTAATATTTACTTTATAAAATATGATAAAAGTATTTATTAATATCTTGTAAGATAGCTATAGACTTTTATTATTACTTCTACATAACAATTTATGCTTTCAATAAGATTTTAGTAAATTTTATCTGAAATCTCTAATTAACATTATTAAAGAGGTTCTTCTAATTCTTTCACATTTCTTAGATTTTTTTGCTTTAATTAGATTTGATATTCAAGTTCATTCTATAAGTACTCTATAGGATTAAAATTGGGATTTTATCTTAACTAAGATAATCAAGTTATCTTCATTTCTTTTATATTTATTCACTTATATAAATTGGTATATTATTTTATTTGAACAAATATTTTTTTCTATTTTGTTCTTTAAATTTCTTTAAAAATAGAACTAAATAATAGCCAAGAATCTCTTAAATTTATCTTTTACTATTTATCCAGTCATTCATACTTATTAATAGACTTAATTTAAATCAATAAAAGCATCCTTTTATCATAATTCTTTCATTATTATATTTTATAGTTAAAACAAGATAATTAATATTATGAAAAACTGCTAAACTCAAATCTTTTCATCATTTTAAAATAGAATAAATTTAGATTTGTTAATCTACTCAACTTTTTTCCAATTATTTATAATCTATAAATACTTTTTACAAGCTTAATTTAAACAAATTTTTCAGTTAGTCTAGGTTTCCTAAAGGCAGTAATGTATATTTTTGATGTTCTAGAGATTTGTTGTCTTAGCTATATATTCTAACTATATATCCTAACCTGTCTCATACTATGTCTCAAATGTTTTATCTGTCCCATCTATGTTCTATCAGCATTCCATCAATATCCTATCAATGTCTCATAACAACACTACCTAAAGGCTATACAACTATTATATTTTATTTTATATAATAATTTTTTATCATATAGGAGTGTTTCTAGGAAAATCAGATTCTAAGAAATTTTTGATTAAAATTAAGAGCTTAATACATTTTAATCTAATAATATTAAAAACTAAAATACAATAAAATCTCAATTTCGCTAAAAAATTCCCAGAACCTGATTTTCCTAGCAATCATCCCATATGTTTATATATTATGTTTTTAGTAAACTTAATAAAATTTCTTTATTTTTTTAACAGATTCATGTTAGTTTTGATAATAATAGTTTTAAAATAATGTTTGTCTCATTCAGTTACCTTTTTTGAATATCTACTACTATAAATAATGAAAATAACATTCTTCTTATAGTATTTTATTATTATATTATGTACTGTAGTTTTGTTATAACATATTTTTTTTGAAATAGCCTTTTTAGAATTACTAACTTCATAAAAAATTATGACTTTACTATGTTCAAAATCTGTTAATTCTTTTCTTTTAACTAATTTTATAGAAATATAAATAATAAATATAGTAAAAAAAGAAAATTTTGTGTAATAATCATCACTAATCAATATGTCATAAATAGTTTATTTTAAAGGAGTTTACTATTTATTACCGGCGGCGATCATCACCAATATCACGTGATTTTAATTAGCCAATAGAAATCAATTAATTTTATTATAAAAATCACATCTAATCAATTAATTTTATTATAAAAATCACGCCCAATCAATTTATTTTATTATAAAAAACGCGTCTAATAATAAACAACAAACTTTATTTCGCTAATTAAAAATCACATTAACCAGCTAATTCAAGTCCAGTTATCAGCTAAGTATCTAATTATTATTTTCTTTATCATATAAGTCAGTCTTTTGTTGCTTACATCCTCAAATATTATGTCCTTTTTCTAGACAGTAACTACAGGTTTTAGAAGACGAAGATATATTTTGAACGTTATTTTCTTCTATTGAAGATTTATAACGTTTTGAAGGACATCCTTTTGGCTTATGATATTCTGGATTCGATATCTTAGGAACACAACTTGCTATAGCGATAGAGGAAGACTCGTCGTGACTTTCGTTACTCAATTGTGATACATCATTCAAGCCAGTTTTTCAACGATATTTCATAATAAATTTTGTAAGAAGTCCAGTCAATTCTGTTGTAACACCTTCCGTTACAGCAATTTGAACACTAGTCTTAGCTACTGATATTGTAGTACCAAACTGAAGCTTTTTACCAACATTTTCCCTAATATTTGACATGTAAATATTAGTAGACCGCATTTGATCAATATATGGGAGGCGGTCAGTAGAAAAGGGAGAAATCCACTTTTTAGTAAAAAATTTTTTTATTGGTTCACTCTGCTGATTATGGTCATGTGAACAAAACTAGCTTAATAACTAAAATTACTCAAAATTTGTAGATTTCCCC